CTGTGTTAATTAACTTGGTACAGAAAGATAAGTGAAATTCTATTCTTTTTAAAAGGACTACCAAAGTGAGAGTGGTGAAATTTACTAGCCAAGTTCTAATAGTGAAACTAAAGTAAAAAGCTTCCTGTATCTGTCAGATCGAGGAAGCATGACATGTCCATTCAACAAATTTCGCATAACCTATAGGGGTCATTTGGTTTGAGTATAGTAAGCATTAATCCCAGCATAAAATCTTGCATAAGATAATATGATGTTTGGTTGAGGTATATAATTAATCTCATTATAAAATTCCGCATAAGATAATATAATGTTTGGTTGGTGATACTAAATAATGCCCAGGAATCTATGTATTATTTTATAAGAGATAGAATGTGGAATAAGAATACGTGTATTAATAATGCAGTCTTTCCTTAGTCGATGGTCTTTCGGAAACAACCTCTCTGCCTTCTTGAAGGTAGAGTTAAGGTCTGCGTACATACTACCCTCCCCAGACCCCACTTGTGGGATTACACTGGGTTTGTTGTTGCTGTAATAATAATGCAGAGATTAAACTATTTAAAGGCATAAATGCCCTTTTAGAGTAATTAATTCCTGTATAACATTTTCTTAAGTATTAACCACGCATAACAATGCATTCATTATTAATCACCCGTACAACAATCCTTTCATTATTAATCACCACATAAACAGTACCTAGATTACTATCCATGCATTACTAATCCATGCATAACTTACTTCTAAACCAAATGGCCTTAATTTCTTATGCCAAAACTAGTCTATACATAGATTTTTTTGTAAATACATCTTAAAAGAAATTAGATGCTCATTAACTGACAAGCACTTGCTGTATTGACATGGTTCTTTGGGTAGTTTAGGATTTATATATCCGTGTAGAGGCAACAAAGTAGTTCACCATTTACAGAGAGCACAGAACCATCACCCCAAGACTGTACCCTACTTGTATCTAAGTAAAAGACACAACACTGATTGAGTATGAGATGCTTCAGTTCAGTGATTTTGTGCCACTTCCTTGAATGAATAAAAGTCATACTATCCTCATGCACATGAACAAAGGGATGATTCACTTTATATTGATTTTCTTATCCTTTCCTAATTATATTTTAACTGTTAGTAGGTCTTAGAGTTTCTCTAAAGACACAATAATTGCACTGGATCACGCAGCACAAGAAACGTGATGATGTGAGACCAACCTTTGGCTAGCCTTTATGTTTCTCTTACCATCATCTTCTCTTTTCGTCTTGTTTATGTTCTGAGTTCTGACTGTTCCACCAGTGTGAGATGAAAAGACAGCTGATTACAGATCTTTATTTAAAAAAAAAAAAAAATTCACCACAAATCTTGGCAGTTAACTCATGTTATTTTGTTTGGTTCATTAGCTTCCAACTGCTTGTCCTTGTGTGCTACAAAAGCAAACTACTCTTTATGCTTTTCTCTCATCAGACCTTCAGAACTGAAAGACCACAAATTGTTTCTCCCAGAAGACAGCGAACAAAGAATTGCCTACTTCATCTCCTCACACCAATTTCCACCACCAAACACCAAAAAGAACTATTAGCTCAATAATCCAAGCTACAATTAAGGATTAGGAATTTTATAACCTTCGAATTTTGGAGTGACTGTTTAACCTAATAACTATTTATTGCTGGTTAAGTCTTTGGTAAATAGGGTACTTTTTATCTCTTTCAAAAATTTGCTACAAGTTTGAAACTTTAACTACATTTTCCCATGATATATCTATAAGACTACCATAACCAGAAACTAATTCTCATGAATCAGCAAAGTAAATGACTGGATCCCAGTTTCGCCTGGTTGTTCAAAGGATGATAAATGATTACTGATTATGGACAAGAATTTTCAGCAAACTGTATTTAGCCAGATAGTAAAAGACACTACATGAATATGCTTATCACATAGATCTGAGACTATGTTTTACAAGACCTTAATGAAGTTAATCAAACAAATGAAGAACTACTGGCATGGGAAATCAAGAAGCACTAAACTGAGAAAGCGGCATAATATAAACTCATACCTCATATCTCTCTTCAAGATGCTGCATGGCCTGGTCAAATTCTTGCAACCCATGGTATCTTAAATAATCGGCATCTCCCTGAATATCCAGCAAGGATAAGCACTCACAAATTAAGACTGAAAAAAAGCTAAATAGGAACTTGGAATAATGCCAAGAAAAAGTTAGTAGAAGTATATTGGTCCTTATCCTTCTCTTTTACCAAAATAGAAAAAGCTGATGGGAATCCTGTATGTGATCCCACTTTTTGTGATCTTTTCTTTTACGTGTTAGCTAGACAATGGAATGACCCTTATCCTATCTCTTTTTTTTGTTATGTCCATGCAAAACGACAAGAGTATGAAGTATTTGGGGAAAATTTTTTACTCTACATGAAACATAAATGTCAATGTATATTTACACTAATGACAGAACTCATAAAAGCCACAGTTTGCGTGTCAGAAAAGGATGATTCTGTAAACTGTACACAAGACCTGACTTACCTTTAAGGAGATAAAAGAGGTCATCATAGTTCACAAAGCAACCAAGTCAGAGTTTCAATTGATAAATGTAACATGTCCATTCACTATAAGCATAGACAACATTATTTATGTTGAGTTATTGTCTATCTAAGTGAATTATCTTTTGGTTATACTCTCTTTATCCCACAAAATTTTTAGCTAGCAGCTCTATTAAGTAATTTGATTATTCACCCTTGCTCAGCGTAAAGACAACCTCAAAACATTAATCTCTCCATTCCATTCCATTTAGTACGACATTGTTACTATATAGGGAACCAAGGAGTGTTTTCTTTGACCATGCATTTGTAAGAAAATATGATTTACGGTATGTTTATATAATTAGTAAATATGTCGATATTTCAAAATAATTAAGAAATAAACATCCAAATTCACCCCGAAAATTAAATATTTTGATCCTCGTACTCTAAACCCCATCATTCCCTTTGGGAACAGAGGGAGTATTTGCATCAGCGCCACATCAATGCACCAAGAAGCTAGAATGGTAAAGCATACAACCTGGATAAGAAATAATGCAAGGGCTAACCAGATCAAATCTCCGTCTGCATTTATCATAACTGAAATTGTTTCCGGGAATCACTTGTCCATCAGGGAGGTGTTGTTCAGCCCTAGGGAAATCAATCCACTCTGGAAAATATAAGTGAATGTATTAATGTTCAATAAAGAATACCAGGAAAGAAAATAGTACAAGATCAAAAGCAGCCTAGCAAAGAATTAAAGCCAAGGAACAAAAATGTTAGCAATCTATACCAGGGTGGCCAAATTCATTTCCCATGAAATTTAGGTATCCTTCTCCTCCTAATCCCATAGTTATAAGCCTGATCATCTTGTGCAACGCAATCCCACGATCTATTAATGGTGTTGACGGTCTATCCAG